CCTCTAGCACCTGCGGCTTTTTAACGTAATAATCGAAACTACTCAAAATAGTGGATAAGGGAAACTTTTTCGGGGCAAGCTAAATGTAATTCTGTAACATCGTGTTTGCCTTTAATATCAATTTGCGAAAAAAATCAACTTTGGGTCCTTAAACCACTCTATGTGTCTACTATGACAGAGTTATTTTCCAAGAATTATTGATAATCTCGAAACCTACTCATTTCGAAAAAAATTGCTTTACTTGCATTCATTTTTGTTTTCTCTAATTTTTTTAATTAGTTCCGTAACATGTACGCTCGTTACTTGCGTGCTGATAGTTATCGTCGTTCTCTATCCTACCAAAAGCGCTACCTGCTTATGCTGCTAGGTGACTTCCAATATCCTGAGTCTGCGGTTCTTGCCATTTTAGGACGTAGTAACCTCACTGAGATTTTAGCTGCCGGTGAACCAGAAAGTGGGTCTCTGACTGGCGAGTCTGAGTTTGGCCAGGCGAATCACAAAGTTGGATCCAATGACTTAGAGACAGAATCACAGACAAATAGAACTCGGAAAAGACTGCCATCCCTGCCTTTGATCCGGTTTCGCGCTGCCGCGAGGACTGTTCTGGTTATCCATCGGTACGTGTAGTGGCTGCCATTTGTTTTCAATTTAATATCCTAGTGGTTTCTCAGCAATTAGGGATATTTTGAAATGCTTAACTTTTATCCTTGCTTCAGTTCCAATTTATAGCCAATGCATCAACATTATACACAGTTCCGCTATGAATAACTTCTTAGGCAAATGCAAAAGTTTGGATAATGGATAAGAAAGACAGGCCACATTTGGGGACAGCGGGCTTAAAGTGATGCTTACTGGACTCTTTTTAGACTATAAGAAGCCCATCAAGCCAGAGGATTACTCTATTGAATGTGCTTAAATTTAGACTTTTTGCCAATAGCTGTTGCTGAAACTAGTATCATTTTAGGTTATTGGTTGTGAATACTTCTTCCGACTATGATAGTTGAACCAAGTAGGAAATATTATATAATTAGGTGAAAGACTTGTAAATAAACCGGCTAATTCATCCACTGTTACGGGCAATATTATCGTAGTTGCGTTTTTTGATCATGAGAACCAACTGGCCAATATGAACCAGATGATGTCATTTTGTATTTATAGGAATAAACAAAGGTCATTAATCTCACTAAAGAGATGAGAGAAAGTCAATTGGCTCTGTATATGACTAAGGTTTATGAATGGATATGTCTTAGGGATAAAAGTATTACAGTTATTGGGGAGTTTGCTGATGAGATTTGTTTCTATCAACAATAGCAGAGCGAACTAGGAAATCTGGGGTCATTAACTATGCAATAAAAGAAGTTTAATAAAACTAATATCTACATTATATTAGTCTTAATGTCTATTATTTATGCCTTTATGTCACTTATCTATCTTAAAAACTCACTTTGACACTTGACGAAGACTTGAATAGACCGGTCTTATCAAATGGCTTATTTTATTCATACTTAGATCTTCAGACTGGAGGAGCATCTCATGATTTTTTCAGGGGCGACCCTAAGAATTTTCAACTGGGTTAGGAAAAATAGCGTTTATTTGTTTTTTAATTAATTTAAGCAGTTTAGCATGTTAAATAACTTAATCAATACTTGAAAAATCTTATATCTGCCATGATTTACGAATTTCATAGCTATTTTCTAGCTTAAGGTTGTCTGTTAAAACCCACGTTCAAACCAGCAGCATTCGTGGATATGTGAATAAAATTATATAAAGTATTGATTCTACCTCGTTTTCGCAACTTGGTCTGAGCGTCAGGGAAACTTTGTGGAATGTATTAGTCCCGTTTCCTCTGCCAAAGTTTTCGTGATTTCCGGCATTGGACCATTTGCTGAGTACATTCCTAAACGTTTCGCCGGCATTGTAGTCGGCATTGCCATTGAGAGGCGCCATCGTAAGTACATAGCTACAACTTATGAAAATGACAAATGGTGCAATCACCTTGGCCAATTTTCTGTTCAACCGTTCTGGCATCACTTCTCGTCCTTATTTTTACTATCTTCTAGTGCTTCATCTCTTTCTCTCAACTCCACTTAATATGGCCCATCTACTTATTCACACAATTCTGTGCGTTCGTTTCCTCCAATGTTGCCTAAGAGTGTGTCGCTGCAAGTGGATTTAATGAAGGGTAATCATCTCCACCACCGGTACCAGTTGCTCTTTGCAGAGCTCCTGGCCTACATTCTGCCCTCCCTTTTTTCTCTATCCGCTTGCCAATTAATCATTAATAAGCATAAAAATCACTTAAAGGAGCACACCTAGTCCGGAGTCCATTGTATGCATCATCATTTCCAGAGCATGACCGTGGACATAGTACATTCCCAGACGTTTCGCCGGCATCGTAGTCGGCAATGTCAGTGAATCTTGCCATTCGTAGCACCATATTACAAACTCGTCAAAGGGACAAGTAAAGCCGATTCTTTGACCAAACGTGTGCTAAACAGTTATGATATCTTCCCTTCTGCCCTGGTCTATTCACATTTCCTATATCCTCCTGTCATGCCTTCGTCGTCAGAATTTTTACCATGCTTATTTTTAATGTAGTGTCGTGTGCCCCTTCGAACGGCATTCATGAAAACCCTTCACACTCCACACTAGTTATCGCCCCCTTCACCCTTGTGCTAAGAATGCTAACCAAAGTCTGTCTTGTTACGTAGTCCTTGCCTGGGTCCTATCAAAGTCTCCCTCTTGCCCCGTCGAATCCGTCTGCTATCTCCCTGGTACATGTATTTTACTCGACCCCTGCCTCCCCATCTGTGCTATTCGAGGCGTAATTCGTCCATCCCTTGCACCTGAGTGATTTATTAGAGGCTGAGGCCTCAGAGTAAGTCTCATGGTCATGCCTTTGCTACATAGACCCCGTCTCTTGTAAAACATATTGTTAGCCAACTAGCTCCAAT